CTTAGCCACTTGAGCCACAGGTGCCGAGACTTGTTGTTATTGTTGTTGTTTAGCAGACCCTGGCTGGGTTCAAACCCACTAGTCCCAATGCATGTGGCTGGTGCCCTAACTACTGAGCTATGGATGCTGAGCCTTTTTTTTTTTTTGAGACAGGGTCTCACTCTGTTGCCCTAGGTAGAGTGCTATGGCATCATCATAGCTCACAGCAACCTCAATTTCTTGGGCTCAAGCAATCCTCTTGCCTCAGCCTCCTGAGTAGCTGGGACTACTGGCACCTACCACACACCTGGCTAGTTTTTCTATTTTTAGTAGAGATGGAGTTTCATTCTTGTTCAGGCTTGTTTCGAACTCCTGACCTCAAGGGATGCTTTCACCTTGGCCTCCTAGAGGATTATAGGAGTGAGCCACTTCACCCAGCCCAGATGTTAGTTTCATGTGTTATGTGCAGTTGTGTCTCAGGGTCATTGCCTATGCAAAAGGATAATAATGGCACCTCCCTCATAATGTAGTTGCAAGGATCAAATAATTTGCTAAACACGGAGGAGGTAGAATGGGGCTGGGCACTTGAGCACGAGCTGCTGTTTATTAATCCCCCATTGTGGAGATGTCACCTTATGCAGCTTTGGGACACAGGGTGTATAGCTGGGGACGCTCTGGTGGAGCATCTGAGTTGGTTTTCAAAGGCTGAGTAAGTATCACACAGAAGAACAGGGTAAGAGCGGCACTGCAGGAGAAGGAGACAGTACAAGGAAAGGCTTTGTGATCAGGGAACTCCGAAGAGTCAGGACAGAGTCAGCAAAGATGGTGTGGGTTCTGGGCGGGAACGTGGCCCCTCTGAAGTACACAGCATCCAGAGCAGGGTCTAAGGCCATGGGTTTCAGAGGAAGCCCTGATTGACAGGTAGGGATTTGGGGATCCTCAGCATTTGGAGTTATTTCAAGCTTGCCTGGAGAGATCATAGAGACTAAGAATTAGTTCCCAGGGACAAGACTCACTGGACCATCTGCAGCCTGCACTGGGGATGCTGCAGCCCCTCACAAAGCAGTTTCATGCCTGGAAGTCCAAGGCTGTTGCCGCTGAGATCCATCCTTATTAGATTCTTATTGGCTGTAAGAGCGGCTGCCAGGTCCCGGCAGGCAGAGCTGGAGACTTGGCACCTCTTCAGCCTAGGATGGAAAAAAGGACAATGCGCAGGGTCACTTCCTTTTTTGCAGTTTTGTGTGTGTGTTTTTTTTTCCCCCTTACCTTTCTCTTGCTCCCTCTTTTAGGCTATACCTATTTTTTCCTCTTTCTTTTCTTTTTTTTTTTTTT